CCCCTCTACTCCCTGCCGCCCCTCTACTCCCTGCTTCCTCTCTACTCCCTGCTGCCCCTCTACTCCCTGCTTCCCCTCTACTCCCTGCTGCCCCTCTACTCCCTGCTGCCCCTCTACTCCCTGCTGCTCCGAGGCCGGGCCTTGGTTGGCCTTGTGGGAAGTTCTGCATGGGCAAGGTGACGGTGCCTCGATCAAGTAATAATGGAGTCATGTGACGAACTTTGTTACAATTATATCTAGGGATGCACCGATACCGATACTAGTATCGATATCGGTGCCGATACCGAGTATTTGGGGCGAGTTCCTGTATCAGGAAGCCGGGCAGCGCATCATTACACGCTGCCCAGTTTCCTGATTGGTCGGGAAGCCGGCTCCGTGCACCCTCGTCACCTCATGACGATGGAGCATGGAGCCAATCAGAAAGCCGAGCGTTACGTCATTACACGGCGCCCGGCTTCCATGATTGGCCGGCCAGACGGCTCCGGCTGGGTACGGGAGGAAGGCCGCGTTCTGGCTGGAGAGGCCCCCGGAGGTGACAGGCTGGACATGCCGAGGTGAGAGGGGACAGACTTTCTTGTTAATCGGGAAGCCGGGTGGCGAGTCATTACACGCCGCCTGGCCTCCTGAATGGGACCTTCTCAGTATTAGGTATCGGCGAGTACCGAAAAAAAGTTATCGGTACCAAAATACCGGTATCGGTGCGTCCCTAATTATATCCTGATGTTGTTATTTGTAATAATGGCAGGAAATTTGGATTGTAAGCTGGCAGTTCCTCCACCGGAGGAAAGTCGCCCCCGTCCGCCATTTTGTTGGCAGGAAATGATAAAATCAATAATCCCGTTATGTTTCCTGTGCAGCGGGCAATCTTCTGTTTATTGGTTTCCCCTTTTTATGGGTTGTTGTTGTTGTTGTTTTTTTTCCTCCTGCAGCTTTATTCCCTTTTATGTTGTTTTCCCCTCCTATGTACTATCCTCTAATTTCCATTAGATTTCCGTGTTTTTGTTTTTTTGTTCATCATGTTGGCAGCGTTCCCTTCGCAGCCATTAAGAAACCTTTTTTTTATCATCTCTCCGTTTCTCTTCCTTCCAGGGGGACCATCAAGAACGAGAGCGCAGCGACGGGGCAATAAAAGTTCGTCTCAGCTGAGCACTTTTTTTTACGAGTGAAATATTTCTCCGAAGTGCGTTCTCCGAGCTCGAGGAGAAGGAAACTCCCGCCGAGGGGAGGGGGCTTGACCGGGATTGACGCCTTCCCGCCAGGGTCCGTTTCATGACACGCGGAGGGGAGCGACTTCTCAGAAGCACTTTATAGAAGGCCCGTCGGGGAAAAAAGGGATACGTCTTGGGAACCTTCCGCAGACGAACGATGCTGAACTCTGACCAGACGGAAATCCCGGCCCACTCGGAGACCGAGTCCGTGTTCAGCGATTGCGGAGGCGGCGGAGGACTCGGCGAGCTCGGGGGCATCAGCTTGTGCGGAGAGACCAGGATCTGCGAGGGCGGCGATTCCGTCAAGAGGGAGCTGCAGCACTTAACTCGGGAGGAGAGGCGTCGGAGGAGGAGGGCGACGGCCAAATACCGCACGGCGCACGCTACCCGGGAGCGCATACGTGTGGAGGCCTTCAACTTGGCCTTCGCCGAGCTGAGGAAGCTTCTTCCCACTCTGCCCCCCGACAAGAAACTGTCCAAGATCGAAATTCTCCGGCTAGCTATCTGCTACATCTCCTATCTCAACCACGTTCTAGATGTTTGATGGGTTCGCGGTGCCCTGATTGGGCCACAACCTGCCCTCTTCTTTGGATGCTGCTGTATTCAGCTAAGGACTAAGATGCTAGGACAGAGAAGAATGGTGGGACCAAATTTTTTCCCCTCTCTTGTGGAATTTTGTAGACCCCCCCC